AACTCTCAAAGGGAAGCTACTCTGTTTTTTTATTTGTATTTTTTATATGTCGGTTTTAAAAAGAGTTTCATTTAAGTACAATTGACAAAATAAAGTACATGTATTTAAAGTACGAAATTTAGTAAGTTTGACATATGTAAACTGTAAAACCATCTCTTCCATCAAGATAATGAAGATATCCATCACGCCTAAGTTTCCTCGTGTCCATTTGTAAACTTTCCCTCCTGTTCCTTCCTGCCTGTCACTTCCAGATACCTACTCACACCCCCACCCCCATCCCTCAGCAATCACTGATCTACTCTGGGTCACAATGGATTAGTTCCATTTCCTTAAATTTTAATAAATGGAATCATATAATATGTACACTTTTTTCAAAATCTGGGTTCTATCACTCAGTTTAATTAAGATTCATTCACACTGTAGCATGTTATCAGGTAGTTTTTTCGCACACATGCTGATCAGTACTTTGCTCAATGATCATGGGTGTCCTATGCAGCTCCCTCCTCTCTGGAATTGGAACTCTCTTTTGTGAACTCTAGCAGCCCTGGTCTCCGATCCTCACCTCAGTCTCCTCCACTCAGGTAGTATGTTGGGCTCCACCTGTCCCTGCGCTACAGTCTGGAAACTCTCTCAAGGTAATAGGATGTGGCAAACATTGAGCTCACCTGGTTTGTTTCCCATCTCTATTCTTCTAGTTCTATGTTTTTCCTTTCAATCAAGGTAATTAAGGTATTAAACCTCCTCTGACTCTCCATTGCAATTCTGGATTTAAGAAACCAGTCAAATCTGAACTGAGTTGGGAATATACTATTTCAATTCATCATATACATTTTCTTTGTTGAATCCATGCCTACAAATCAGGAAACAATCATTTTCTTTAGTATAGTTTTTCCCTCTGTTAGTACTATATGATGTTCCCAGCTGATGAAAGGGTGCTTTGTACCAACCAATCTTGGTGTCAAGTGCTTCTTTGACACAAATTCTTCTCTGAATTCTTTCCTCTCCCCTTTAATCTGAGCCATAATCTTATCTATGTCTTAAGAGTTCATTTCATCTCTCCCAGAACACAGCTGAGTATTCAATGACTTCCTCTAGAGTTTTCCCTTTTACTTCTCTCGCTCTATTTTCAATATCATCATGATTCCATTTTTCATTAAACTGGTTAAAATTTCTCTCATTCCAACTGGTAAATCCCTGTTAGAAGCTTCTCTTTCTCTTCTAACTCTTCATCATTAAAGGATTCAGCTTTGTCAATTTTAATCTGTTCTTTTTGTGCTTGTACTGGATTTGGTAGGTCAGGATTTCAAGCTATCAGTACCCTATAATTTTTCTATAATACAGAATTCTTTATCTAATAATTCAAATAAATACATTGAAAGAACTAAAAATCCTGAACATTGATTGTTCTATTATTTTTTCCTACCATTTAGCATCAGTAGTAAAGCATCAAAAATAGTAAGGTTTTCCCAAATATCTGAGATCTTTTTCTTGATATATTATTTGTCACCTTCCCAATCATGCATTTCTTGCTTATGGAGAGAGAAGCCAATTTACCCATTGCCTTCTGCAGCAGGAGAGGCCACATATGGTGCTGCTAGTACCAACAAAATGAACACACAAGCGATTTTAGCTTAGGGACAATACTCAAAAAACAAGACAGTTTACAAAATTCCATTCAGGTTGCTTGAAAATATCTTTTTCTATCTTGCCAATAAGTAACTTTACTGCAAGTTCTTCATACTTTGGCCTGAATCTGTGGAGACTCTAATTTCTAAAGTTTATAAATTCCTTCCTATAAAAATCTTGCAACATATATTGAAACTTGGGGTTGTAGAAATCTTGTTCCTTATTTAATTTCCTTTGCTAGTAAAAATCAGACAATGCTTCTTTGACCAAGAAATGGGAAATGACTACCCTATCCCAATATAGTTTGACGTCTATTAAGTGAGAGGAAAGCTTCTTTGCAGGACATATTTTTAAACTCTAGCATTTGCTTTCCTAAATCTGCCTCCTACAAATCTATCCAAATATATGGATCTCCAAGTTTTCCTCTCCTCTCCTCTCCTCTCCTCTCCTTTCCTTTCCTCCCCTCTCCTCCCCTCCCCTCCCCTCCCCTCCCTTCCTCTCCTTCCGCTCTCCCTCAAATCCTCCCTCACATCCTCCCCTCTCTCCCCCTAAAAAGCATTGGTCATTAATTAACCCAAACTGCACCTGATCTAATCAGCACTAGCTGGACAAAGATAGGCCTCTAAGTAATTTGCAGAATTTAATTCTCTGGTTTTAAAATGGGCTTAAAAAGCTTCTTGGATTAGTTTCTCCTGTACTGCTCTCCCAAACATATAACAGACTATTTATTCACATTTGGTTCAGAGGGATAATGCTGGTGCTGCCTTAGTAGCAGCAAATTAAACTTCAGTGTATCATAGCTGGAGGATTTCCTCTTTTATATTATAAATACTACTGACCACTCACTATGGGAAGCACCATGCTAAGTATTTTAGGGAGGGTCAAATAATGAAAAAAGACATGCTAATACTCTCAAAAAGCTTACCAGCTGGCTAGGAAATTAAGTTATACACTTATGAAACAACATGTAAATATTCTGAAATTTTGTTATTTTTTAATGTATGTATTTCACAAACAAAACCTCTAATACCACACACGATTCCATAAAATATTTTGTTAACAACATTCTTTAACTGTTTACTCTTTCCTTGACAAAAGTACAATCCAAGACATCTTGAAAACAAATTTTTACTGACAAGAAAATATCTTTGAGTTAGTTTTAATGATGCCTATCATTATATTTTCTCTCAATTACCTGGGACAATACCAAAGAAAACCATACTTTAGGTTTTGAGCAAGTACAGAATTAATCAGTTTTGCCCAAGAAATATTCTTGGAGAGACTTTTTCTCCCTCAAATCTTCTATGACTAATCGCATCCACTGAATTTTTCATTTCGGATATTGTAGTTTTCATTTCTAGAAATTCTATTTTGGCATTTTTTAATATCTTCCATGTCTTAACTTTATTCCAACATGTGGAATACAATTATAATAACTATTTTATTTCCCTTCTCTAATTCTAACATCTGTGTGTGTTCTGTGTTTCGATTGATATTCTCTTTATTATGGATCATATGTTCCTGCCTCTGCATGTCTGATAATCTTTGTTTGGATGCCAGATATCTTTGTATTCCTGTAAATCTTTAGATTTGTTCAGAGATGCAGTTAAGTTACTTGGAAACAGTTTAAGCTTTTCATCTCTTGCTTTTAGAATGTTAGGCAGTTCTGGAGGGGTGCTCAGTCTAGGGCTAATTATTTCTAACCACTAAATCCTCTACCTCATATCTCATGAGTTATGGTATTTTCCAGTTTGGCAAGTGGCACAGGAATTATTCTTGGACTTGTATGAGTACCAGGTTCTATTCCTTCTGCTATTTTGTTCTATAAACTGTAGCTGTCTTGGCCTATGCGGAGTCTCCTCATGGTCTTAACTTAGACTCTG